GCTTGTTTAATTTTTTTTTTTTTTTGGTTTTAAAAAAATATCTAAGTACAACCATCTGATTGCTCCAGTGATCATGTGATAATATTTTATAGCTGCTTGTAATATATTGCGATTATAACATAAACATATTTTGATTTCGAGAATGTCATTTTGGGGCTCTCTGCTGGTTTGCTTCTCTAGATGATCAAAAGAGTATTTTGGTAAAAAGGATTGGTATCTCATTACTATTCTAGTGAGAAGAAGGAGAACGACCTAAAAAGAAAAAGTATTGTGGAAATAGTTGGTGCTTGTTAACCAAAAGTTGGATAGTATCCTAATATAAAGTTCTATGTATATAAAAGATAGGAATAGAGACACCCCAGAAAGAAACTTTCGGAAGCAAATCCATCGTGATTAATTCCAGTTGAAGATTATTCAAAGTGCCTAGAAACCAAAATTAATTGTTTTCCAGAATTCGCTTTCCTGTCTATGTATAAGTATCACAAAAAAAAAGACAGAAGCCGGCGTAGAGCTTATACCTACGGTTTGAGATACAACTTAATTATATGATCCAATTGCATGTGACATTTTATAGCATGAATTTGTTCAAGTCTAATTCTGACATGAGTTTACAAAATGAAATATATTTTCAATTTCAAGGAACTATTGTTAGTCTAGATGGAAATAAGTTGCTTCCAAATCTTTATGAGAAACTGGCAGCATACTTTAATTTGAATAATTTAAGAGTCAAAAGAGTGAAGAAAAGTTGACTGGTTTTTCTTGCGCCCTCATTGATTTGTTTGCATAGCTGTTATCAAGCAAAGCTTTTTCACTAATTATTGTGTATTATTGTGCATCTTGTGGTGCTAATTCATTTCATTCCTTCTTTATTGACTATACATGTTTGCTCAAAGTTCTAATTTTTACCTGGCTTTTGGATCCAGATTGATGAGAACGTGATGAGAGAGATCATTAATCACAGTTCACTAAGACATCCCAATATTATCCGGTTCAAAGAGGTCGGCAGAATTCTTTCTTTCATTTTCCGAGTTTCTGAATTGGTTTCAAATACTTAATCAAAGAGCCCATGAAGAATTGACAACATAATTAACTTCCCATCAGTTTTATCAATGTGTAAATTTTCATAAGAATCTGTTTGAGACATTATTTTGAATCACTTGGAGGCGTTTATTCTATCTTAAGTAGGTATTCAGAACTTGTCGTGACGGATGAAAATTGAAAAATGAGATGCATTATTAATTGACAGGGACTAATTTGATCCAAAAGATTAACCCAATTTACATATTTTCCCTTTCGAATTGTATTTCTGATATGAGACTAAACTTTAGCTTTATTGTGCAGGTATTACTAACACAAACACATCTTGCTATTGTCATGGAATATGCTGCTGGTGGAGAACTCTTTGATAGAATCTGCATGGCTGGTCGATTCAGCGAGGACGAGGTAATTATTCTATAAAACGTCATGACATGTTTCCCCCCTATATCATGTTCTAATTTCTCTCTTGGTATCTCTAATTAATTTGGTGCAAATTTCGACCTTCAACAGGCAAGGTATTTCTTTCAGCAGCTAATATCAGGAGTGAGTTACTGCCATTTGATGGTGAGTTATATGCTTAAGTTTGGCTAAACAGCAATTGTATTCTTTCTTGTGTAGTCTTAAGGGTTGAAAGAAACAATCTCGAGATTCATTTTGATTATTTTGTTAGGAAATATGTCACCGTGATCTCAAACTGGAAAACACGCTTTTGGATGGAAGTCCAATTCCCCGTCTTAAGATCTGTGATTTTGGTTACTCTAAGGTATCAGATGCTTATACTCTATATCTGATCTGTGTACCGAAAATTGCTTATGACGTTAGTAGATCTATGTATACTGAATTGTACATGGTCATTTAATTAATTATGCTTTATTATTGCATGTGTTTGCACCTAAACAAAGATTTATGTTAGTAGAGACGGATTAAGAACTACTACTTAAGTAGGTATATATGTACAAGAAAACATAGGCAAAAGAATCGAAAATCAAAAGAAGCTGTGATTTTATACATTCTGATAAAAGACTTGCGGAGTTAGCTATTTATCATTCTTCCACGTTGCTTAACTACAATGCATCTGTCGCTGTATATTGCAGTCTGGTTTATTACACTCACAGCCAAAATCTACAGTAGGAACTCCAGCCTACATAGCGCCAGAGGTTCTCTCTAGGAGGGAGTACAATGGCAAGGTATTTTAATTTTATCCCCTTTTCTATTGTTTACTTTGATAATACATGCTAATATTCCTGTGAGAGTTGTGGGACATGATTAAATTTGTTGGTGTCACATGTGTATGCAGATTGCAGATGTTTGGTCTTGCGGTGTCACATTATATGTGATGTTGGTGGGAGCTTACCCTTTCGAGGACACCATGGATCCTAGGAATTTTAGAAAGACAATAAACGTAATTTACTAACATCTCTTTATTTATTTGTTCGTATTTCGATAAATTTAACATCAAGAGAATTTTTTATTTATTCACTACTAAATTTTTTTCTCTTCCACAGCGAATAATGAGTGTTCAGTACTACATCCCGGATTATGTAAGAGTCTCTCCAGGTTGCAGGCACCTTCTCTCTCGAATTTTTGTAGCCAATCCCTACAAGGTTCTCACTCCAACTCCCCCCCCCTCCTCTTCCCCAAAACTTGTTAGATGACCCCCCAAAAGTTAGGGGATATCTGAAAATAGATTCAGAAAAATTCGAAAGTTTTGAGGGCTAAGTGACATGTCCTAACCTTTTGGGGATTTTGTCAAAAAGTGCTACACTTCTCTGGGGGTTTCGTGAAATTTACGTTTTTATCGTTATTTTCCTTTCTACTAGCCTATTAATTTTACAATGCTTTTCTCTTTCAGAGAATAACCATCCCTGAGATAAAGCAACATCCCTGGTTCTTAAAAAACATGCCAAGAGAGCTCGTCGAGGGCGAAAGAACACGATACCAATCATTAGTGGAGCGTAATAAGCTTAATCAGACACTGGGGGAAATTATGAGGATTATAGAAGAGGCAAGAAAGCCAGCAGCAATTCCTCACGCTCTTCAGAAGCCAGCAATGATACCTGAAAAAGTAGAAGACTCTGATTCTGATGTTGATACTGAAGATGTGGAAACAAGTGGAGATTTCCTTGATATAGAGTTCTGTGATGCTCAGTAGAAGATATTTCACAAAGTTTTTACTGAGGTTGTGGCTGTAAATTTTGCTATGTTTCTCTATGAGGAAGTATTACTATGCCTGTTATTGAGAACCTTGTATGGTGCATAAAAATGCGCCTAGTAGAAAGGTTTTAGTTAAGAGTATTTAATGGACTATCGAGTTTAATTGGTATATATGAAGAGCTTAATTAAGGTTCTAATTGTGTTGAGCATGTTATAACTTTTTGTGAGATAAAAAAAGGATGAAGTCTCTGTAGAAACAGCGACGAAGTTCAAGAAAAAAACGAAGCAGACGAGCATTTGGGCGCAATCCGGTCGACCGCGAAGACAAGTCCGGTCGACCGGAAACGTGCACGCTACAGGGCTGGATTTTGGTCCTCTGGCCGGTCGACCGAGGGTCCGTGCCCGGTTGACTACGAGCAGTTGATGGTGCAGGCTGAATCTACAGCGTTCAGGTCGATCGACCGGCACTTCTTGTGCGGTCGACCGCGACTCGAGTTTGGGCCTGGGTTCGGTTTCCTGATCTGTTTGGATTTTGTATTTGATATAATTACAAACACGATTTGTTTAGGGTAAATATCTCTAAAAGCACAGAAAATAGAGATGTTTTTTAGCAGACTTTGAGAGGGTTTTGAGCATCCTTTGAGAGAAATTGTGAGGGATTTGAGAGCTTGTTTGAAGGTTTTATTTGTGAGATTTTGTGTGATTGTAAACCATATTTGTACTCTCTTTCTTCCTATTAGTGAAATCTCTTCCCTCCTTGCCCCGTGGATATAGGCGCATTGCCGAACTACGTAAAATTGGTGTCTTGCTGTGTGGTATTTGTGTTTGGGTTTGTTGATTTGTTCTCCTATCTCGTTCGATTGTTGTGTTTCGGATTCCGCTGCGCACAACAAGTGATATCAGAGCTTTGGGTTTTGCTTGGGGTTCTATTTGGAGGATTTTGTGCAGATCTCGTTCGAGGAGGTTGAATAGTCACAATGACCGAATCAAGTACATCCGGATCGTCCATAACAAAGGCGATACAAGGTTTGAGCATTACTAACACAAAGATTAATGTTCAAAAGTTTGATGGCAAGATAATTTTTAATTTGTGGAGGTGTCAAGTGATGGATACGTTGGACGCTCAAAATCTAGAGGAGATTCTTGAATTACAAGAGAAACCTGATGATATAGAGAGCAAGATTTAGAAGAAAATAAATAGTAAAGCATGTGGAGTTATTAGATCATGTTTGACGCGATGATATGGATGACAAGGTTTGGAAGAAAAGTAATAGTAGAACATATGGAGTTATTAGATCATGTTTGACGCCGGATTTGTTTTATGATGTGATGAATAATACGTCAGCGAAACGGTTGTGGGAAATACTTAATGAAAAATACTTGACGAAAAACATTGAGAATCGGCTTCATTTGAAAAAAATGTTTTACCAATTCAAGATGAAGAGGAGAGTTTTCATTAGAGAGCATGTCAATAACTTCACAAAGTTGCTGTCGGATATGACCAATGTGGATATCATAGTAGAGGATGAAGACAAGGCGATGTTGTTATTGTGTTCGTTGACAGAGGATGATTATGAAAGTGGAGCTACAAACAGGTAGAAAGGTGAAGGTACTCTGTTCAGATAATGGTGGTGAGTACAAGAGTGATCCATTTTTATAATTTTACCGGGATCATGACATTAGGTGATATTTCACAGTTAGGGGGACACCGTAACTAAACGGGGTGGCCAAGAGATTGAACCGTATATTGCTGGAGAAAGTGTGGTATATGATGTCACAGAGTGGATTAGCTAGATCCTTTTGGGCTGAGACGTTGGTTTATGTAAGCCATCTCATGAATAGGTTGTCGTGCATTGCGATACATGGGAAGACTCCTATGGAGGTAATGTTTGGTTCAGTGACTAGTGATTATGATTTGATTCAAACATTTGGGTGTCCAGTTTACTATCATGTGAATGATGAAAAATTGAATCTGAGGGCTAGAAAAGCAGTCTTCGTGGGTTTTAGAGATGGAGTTAAAGGCTTTAAGTTGTGGGATCGAGAAGACAATAAGATAATCATTCGCAGAGATATCACTTATGATGAGGCTTACATGATGAGGCCTCAGGTCCCTCAGCAGGTGGAGGAAGGCCAGACTAGCGGGATATCATAGGAAGTGGAGGATGATATGACTCAACAGACTTTATATAACACTATATCTATTGAGACTCCTACAAAGGTGACACTGGGATGAGATATGACAAATGTGCAGATGGAGGATACATTGGATGTTGGGACTCAAGAACATGGTCATATTCAGGAGTCTATTACAGCTAACAGACCAAGAAGAGTCATTCGTCGGTCAGCTAGATATGATGATGTGATGGTTGCATATGTTTTATCAGTAGAGGTCGTGATGATTTGGTTCCTTCTACATATAAGGAAGCTGAGCCAAGTTCTAATTCAATCAAGTGGAGGGAAGCAATGGAGGAGGTGATGCACTCTCTTCAGAAAAATGACACTTGAGAACTTGCAAAGCTACCGAAGGGCAAGAAAGCAATTGGATGCAAGTGTGTATATGCAAAGAAAGAAGGATCTTCTGATAGGATACAAAGCCAGATTGGTTACCAAAGGGTATGCCCAACTTGAGGGCATTGATTATAACAAGGTATTCTCACCTGTTGTGAAGCATTCATCAATAATAATACTATTAGCATTGGTGGCGTAGCTGGATTTGGATTTGGTCCAGATGGACGTTAAAAAACAACCTTTCTACATGGAGATTTAGAAGAGAAGATCTATATGTCACCACCGATGGGTTTTAAAGCTACATGCAAGGAAGATTTGTTATGAAAACTGAAGAAATCTTTTTATGGATTGAAGCAATCACCGCGACAATGGTACAAGAGATTGGACAGTTTCATGATTAGGCAAGGGTACACGATGAGCTCATATGACCCGTGTGTGTACATGCACAAGCTACAAGATGATGAGTATATTTATCTATTGTTATATGTTGACGATATGCTCATTCCTTTCAGGAATTTCTCATCTATTAGAAAGTTAAAAAAGGAGTTGTCATCCGAATTTGAGATGAAGAAACTTGGTGAAGCAAATAAGATATTGGGTATGGAAATTGAGAGAGACAGGATGAAGGGGAGGTTGAAGTTGACTCAGAAGAGCTACTTACAGAAAATATTGAAGAAATTCAGCTTTGATGGCAATACCAAGGTGGTGAGTACTCCATTAGTTCTCAACTTTAAGATTTCTGCTAAGATGTCACCTATTTCAGTTGAGGATCGTGAGTACATGTCAAAAGTTTCATATGCCAGTACGGTGGGTAGCTTAATGTTTGCTATGATGTGTACAAGGTCAGATTTATCACAGGCCATGAGCATAGTGTCTAAGTACATGCACGACCCCGGGAAGGGTCATTAGGAGGCCCTGAAGTGGATTCTACGGTATATCAAAGGCACTGTGGATGTTAGTTTAGTATTTGAGAAGAATTGGACAAATATGCAGGATTATGTTGGATATGTGAATTCAGATTATGCTGGGGATCTTGACAAGCGTTGGTCTACTACAGGATATGTGTTTACACTAGAAGGATCACCAGTATGTTGGAGATGTACACTTCAGTCTACAGTGGCTCTTTCCACTACTGAGGCAGAATATATGGCATTGACTGAAGCTGTGAATGAAGCTTTGTGGTTGCATGGGTTATTTGATGGCTTGTGGATTGCATAGGATACCATCAGGGTAAAGTGTGATAGTATGTCAACTATCTATTTGGTAAAAAACCAGGTGTATCATGTCCGAAAAAAGCACATTGATGTCAGGTTCTATTTTGTACGAGATGTCTTAATTGGATGAATGAGACATTATATTGGAGAAGATCCACACAAAGGATAACCTGGCGGATATGTTGAGCAAAATTGTCACTAGGGTAAAATTTGGTCATTGTTTAAAGTTGTTGAACATTCTTCGTTGTTGAGGGCCTTTGGAGGCCATTTGGATGAACCACATGAGGCTTGATTCCTTGGGTAAGAGGATATGTAGGCAGTTAGTTTGATGCAGGCAGTTTGATGAGTTGATACCGACATGGTGGACATTGTTTGAGTTCTCATTTGAATTCCTAACTTGTTGTGGATTGAGTCTGTTGTTATGGATTAATTCTACTTTGTACTGGAAGCAACAAGTGGGATGTTTGGTTGGTATTGGTGTTGGCTCGGTTTTGAGAAAACTTTACCGAGGTAGAGAATTGTAGAAACAACGATGAAGTTCAGGAAAAAATAAAGCAGACGTGCATTTAGGTGTAGTCCGGTCGATCGCGAAGACAAGTCCGGTCGACCGGAAACGTGCACGCTACAGGGCTAGATTCTGGTCCTCTGGTTGGTCGACCGCGGGTCTTTGCCCGGTCGACCGCAAGCAGTTGATGGTGCAAGCTGAATCTTTAGCGTTCTGGTCGGTCGACCGACACTTCTTGTGCAGTCGACCGCTGCTCGGGTTTGGGCCTGAGCTCGTTTTCCTGATCTGTTTGGGTTTTGTATTTGATATAAATACAAACACCATTTGTTTAGGGTAAATATCTCTGAAAGCACAGAAAATAGAGACGTTTTTTAGCAGAGTTTGAGAGGTTTTTGAGCATCATTTGAGAGAGAAATTGTGAGGGATTTGAGAGCTTGTTTGAGAGTTTTATTTGTGTGATTGTAAACCCTATTTGTACTCTCTTTCTTCCTATTAGTGAAATCTCCTCCCTCCTTGCCCCGTGGACGCAGACACATTACCGAACCACGTAAAATTGGTGTCTTGCTGTGCGGTACTTGTGTTTGGTTGTTGATTTGTTCTTCTGTCTCGTTTGTTTGTTGTGTTTTGGATTCCGTTGTGCACAACAGTCTCCACAAGGAAGAACTTCAGCCTGCTACCATTGTCGAAAAAGGTTCTACATATTCATCCGTATTCCCAACTCCGAAAATTCGGACCAAAGTTTGAGCATGTTATAACTTGGTAAATTTTCTAGCTTGGGATTTTTTTTTTACTGAGAAATTAGGAAGCTAACTTAATTTGTTTCCTAAAGAGGTTTTCCTTGTAGAGTGACTCTTTACCATTGTGATATCAACGGTACGCTATGAAAGGTAAATTCACTGCACTAAAACTCTGGAGTTACGTGGAGTGAGGGTTACAATTTGTGCTCTAATTGCACGTCCAAACTCCAAAGTTGAATGATACCTTGCTGGTCTCTTTCAATGCGCCAAACTCCAAAGTTGGTGTGCGTAATTTTCATAGCGTGTGCGCTCAAAACTTGCTGAGAGCTTTTTAAAACAGCATATGCTTGCAATTAGAAGATGACACTATCTTTTTTTCGCCTCTTTTTCCTTAAATGATCCAAATGGAAAACTCTTAACTTTAGTTTTTAAATATGCACCCCATGTCCCCATGCATCTTAAGATGCAAATCAATACAGAGATGTAGGTGTTAACAGATGTTTTTCTAATTTATGACTGATGCGGAGAAAGAAAGTCTAGAGAAGGAGATGTTGGAGAGGGATTTTAATAAAAATTTGTAAATTGGCCTTTAATCTTAATATTTAATATATGGGTATTTTAGTCGTTATCTGATAATATATATGTGGTATTATTTTCTAACAATGTTAAGCGAGGGATAAGAAAATGCAATATTGATGAATTCGAGGGTAGATTAGCACAGATTTAAATTTGAAGAGTAAATTGCAAATATAAGTAATTTGAGGATATATAGGAAAATAACCTACAAGCAAATATGCAGTTAGGAATTTAGGTCATGGGTTGCGGCTGCACCTGTCCTAGCCCATGGATGTGGATACCTTTAAACAGGCCGTAGCAAAGTAACTTTAAAGCAGGAGGTAGCAAACAATTTGGGCCTAAGTAGGAGGTAGCAAACAATTTGGGCCTTTTTATATAGAGTGAAAACAAATTTAATGTAGCCTCTCTTGCCAAAAAGATATTCGTTCCTTTTGCTCCATGTTCTGTTCTTTTGACAGGGACTTGGAAGTAGATGTGCCAATGATTTAGATCCATCTCAAATATGATACTTATCATATGGGAGACACTACAGGCACAACCTTGGACACACTCTCAGCCACAACCCCTCTCCTGCTACAGTGTAGGGGGGCCCATATGAGATTTTTTTTAAATCTCACGTGGGCCCCCCTGCACTGTAGCAGGAGAGGGGGTGTGGCTGAGAGTGTGCCCAATGGTGTGCCTGTAGTGTTTTTCTTATCATATATTAACATCTGGTTACCAGTAACGAATATGAATATAGATATGAATACGTGTATATCTTTGTAACGAAAATTGGTTTTCAGATACAGAAACTAATATACAATGCGGATGTATACGGGGATACAAAACTGATATATGAGGAAATGAGAAAAACAAGTTCATATAACACAAGTGAGTTTATTAATATGTCTGTTATATATGAAAACCTAAGATTAAATCATTTGATCATCAAAATTAACTTCAAAGCAATTAACTTAAAGATGGAAACCATTACAACTATATGACTAATATTTATTCAAATAGTTCAAATACGAATTTGGGTATTTCACTATATATTTTGCATCTGTATCAATATATTATCGAATATATATATAATGATTACAAATATATCCTCCAATATGAATAACTTTTTGCACTAGTACTTGGGACTCTTTTGCTTCGTAGCTGCCCATTTAGATATCAATTTACAGACCATAGTTATTCATTTATGCTTGAAAAAAAAATCATCATATCATTTATTTTTATAATTTTCTTTAAACGATACTAATAACAATTAAAAAATTACTTAACTATTTATTGATTATTGACTAGCATACCGACCCCTTTTTTATGCCCTGGGCATATTCATTTTCCATCCATTCCCTATTAATAATTTGACCATCATATTATACAAGAAAGCATTTTCTACCCCCCACACCCGCGTGCCTTACACGTGCCCTCTACCCACTGAAGACCTATCTCCTCTCAGCGACGAGCACAAATAGAACAAAACCTAACTTTTATCATCAGAACCAGAGAGAAACAATTTTTACCAGAAAAATAGAGAATGGATCAAGAACAGGAGCACGAGGTCTACGGCGGAGATGGAGGCAGACGACGAGATGGCCGCCGCCGATGCCGATGACCAAGATCCCCAATCCTCTAAAGAGGTAGCCCCGAAACCCTAGATTTTGATTTCTTTAGTTAGAAAGTCTGAAGATGGTATCTTGTTGGAGTAGAACTTGGAGGTGATGAAGCAGAGGTTGAAGGAGATCGAGGAGGAAGCTGGAGCCCTGCGAGAGATGCATGCTAAGGTCGAGAAGGAGATGTCTGTTGTTCAAGGTTTGGTTTTCCCCCCTCCCTCTGTTTCTCGTTTTCTAGGGTTTTTGCCGGAGCCGCTTTGTTCGGGATTAGGGTTTCGGTAGTTGGTGTTTATATTCTCGGGGCGTTGTTTTGCTTATGATGAGTGATAGTTCTCCATAGTTTCTGTTGTATTCGTATACCCTTCGATATGGTATCCCTAATATAGGAAACTGCACCAAGTCAAGTATGCTACCATGTAAAAGAGCTTTCGTTTTCAGCGCTTGAAATGTATGGAAAAGAATTGTTGAGGACCCTTATCGAGTCAGTTAATTGAACTAACATCTGAATACAGTGATTGTTAATTGGTAAGTTTCACGATTTGTGCTCTTGTACTTTTTCGTGGAGAGAACGAGTGAGATTGATACCATTTGAAGATTCTTTGGCACATAGATTTTTGAAATAGTGTTTTTCCGAATAGTTCCTCCATTCATTGTTTAGTAAGTTCGGTGAGAATAGACAATAATAAACCATTTAGATACTGTTGTTTAGTGTGATGCCGATGTTGGATGAAAGAAAGATTGCACTATAGAGGAACTCTGCATGTCTAACGTGACATCATGGCATTGTTTTGATAAGTGTAGCTTCCCGTACACTATGTTTTCCGAGAAAGCTGCTCTGTAGTTCAGTTCTTGTATACTTACAGTCATTGTGCGTGCTTTGTTGATTGTGTGCTCTTACAGTCTCTTATTGGAAGATTATGTTTGCTCCTTGGTTTAACATTTCCTTGTGCTTTCACTCTCTGCAAGCCAAGCTGAAAAGGAGGAGGTGGATTCGAGATCGATCTATGTTGGTAATGTGAGGTTCTTCAAGCCATCCTCTCTTCAGTGTTTTGCAGTTTACAGTAATGCTTGCATCTCTTACTTCACTCCTAAATTTATCTAGCAAGAAGTCTTATTTGAAATTTATGTATTACATGATCGGTACAAGGAAAGAATATGTAAATTTTTGATTGCTTAGTGCTGGATAAGTTGACGTTCTTGTTAAATTGTGACTACCATTATACAGCTTCGTAGTCACATCCCATTTTTAATGGATGCACTGCATATTACTCATATTCTTTTGAAGATGTAAGATGACAGATGGATGTTTAATATTGCCGCTGTTATAAACATCTATAATTTATTTAGTTAGAGGTTTGATGCAACGTGGTAACTATTTTAATGATATTTATTTGGAATGAGGTATTTGGTAGCATGCATTTTAGTTAAATGTTAGCAGTAGAACAGTCTTAACTAGTGAAGCAAATTTTCTTTCTTTTTGGTAGTATCCCGTTTATTTTAATCAATCTTGTGAGTATTATGAATTATACTAATCATACCGATTGTTAGGTGGACTATGCTTGCACTCCTGAGGAAGTGCAACAACATTTTCAGTCTTGTGGGACTGTAAACAGAGTAACAATTTTAACAGACAAGTTTGGTCAGCCCAAGGGATTTGCATATGTGGAATTTGTTGAAGTAGAGGCTGTTCAGAATGCTCTGCTGTTGAATGAATCGGAATTGCATGGTCGTCAGTTAAAGGTTTGCATCAATTTGATCAGGTTAAACTTTACAATGTAAACATCCAACTGATTTGGTTGTGGTGCAGGTGTCAGCTAAAAGGACCAATGTACCAGGAATGAAACAGTACCGGGGTCGTCGAGCAAGCCCATATATGGGCTTTCGATCACGAAGGCCTTACATGCCACCTCCATTTTATGCTCCTTTTGCATATGGGTATACTGCTTTCCTTCCATGTTCGTATTTATTTATTATATGCCCTCTAAAGATATGTTTTATTGTATTATATGCTCTCAATAGACATGATTTTGTCTGGTGATATAAGGTGAAATGTTAACTTGTCATGAAGTAGTTTCTCATAGAGCTTATATGGTCTCATAGGCCACTTATACAACACTATGCACAATTCAAAATAATTTGGGTTTGAACATCTTCTTTATGCTCGAAGATCATGATCTACCAGAGCTGATTAACACCAAAGCGTCTTTGCTCCTAGCGTAGTCAGATTGACAAATCTGGATTATCTTGAACTTGAAGCTAATTGACTTCCTAAAGTGAATTTCAGTTTGTCAAGCTTCTTAAGATTAGATGGACATTCTGGAGTTATATCCTGATAGCAACAGCCTACAAGTTCACAGTGGGTATGTATTGAGAGATCGTAATTAAGAGTTGTGATAGATATATTGGATGTCAAGTTAAGATACTGTTGCATCATATGGGATAGTGGCTTATGCATGAAGCTTAATAAATAGTATGGAACTAGGATAAATTTGTAGCACATGGGGCTTTATGCAGATTTCTGGTATAGGATTTCAAGGGGTACCATGTTTAAGGTTTTGATCAATGCCATTATTTGATGTTTATTGTCAGAAAGATGCATCGGGAGCAAAATGGCTTAGTGAAAAAGAATTACCAACTTATTTGGTATACAACAGTATTATAAGTCTATGTTTATGTTGCATGGACATGGACACAATATGATATAACACAAGACACTGTGTTGCCTAGTACTATATGTTTCATACAGAATATTTAGCAATTTATTGAAACAGTTATCGGTTCTTCCTTGTGTTTGCATAAGAATATTAAATGTTCAATATTCTGTTAAGTCATTTACAAGCTTATAGCATAGTCTTTCACACTTTATTTGGATTTTTCCTTTCCTAGTGGCAAAACAGTCCTTGACTGTATTGAGATTAAATGCCTAAGGTCTGCAAATGGGGTCTTTTAGTCAAGGGGGTGCGTTTGGGTCATGCGAGATCTCGGTTCTGAGATTGGGCTACGGTCTTTGTTTTAAAGAGAATCTCTAGTATATGCTCAGGGGAAAAAAATTAGTCATGCATGCCTGCATGTAAACGGTGTTACAAAAATGATTTTATTCATCTAAGAGTGAAAGATAAACAAGTGTGCATGCGTACGTGTGTGCAGCCGTGCATGCTGTAGACCAAGTCAAAAACTCAGGTATAAGCCTTTAAGATAGAGCTCATAGTATGTGCAACTCAAAGTGGACTGAAACAGGAACCAATTAGCATGTAACCAGTGTCACAAGGATGATTTATTCCCACATCTAAGAGTGAAAGATAAACTAGTGTGCATGCGTTGAGGGGAGTATATGACATCTTTGATATATTTTCCATACATCTAGAATAAGTCTCAAATACGTTGAGGGGAGTATATGACATGTATCCATCAAGTACCAGAGTATCAAAGAAACAAATATTTGACAGATATGGATACATCTCTATGAATGGGTTCCCTGCAGCACTGGGATGGGATAACAGACAAAGTGGGATGGTACACCATTGAATGTCTTCCACCTTTATTGATGGGCTCTCCCCTTTTTCCCACATCTCATCCATTCTACTGGATCTCTTAGGTTTTTGATCGAGTTGATTGGTATGACCCGTTGATTTCCGCATTTCGTGGTTCCATTAAAGACTATTTTTCTGAAAAATATAAAACGCTACTCGGAGTACTCAGTGGTTCCGTTGATGTACCGCATTTAAAGTCTGTTGTTTATCCTCATGCCAGCGTTTCACTCTTTTGCCTTCTCTTCTCCTTTCCTAGGCAGAAACTGCAATTGCTACTATTTTGGTCATCTCATTTATTCTTTGATATGTACCTGATTTTTCATATATAACTCCGAGTTGATTTTTGGGTGATAGCATTACTTGCACTTCTTATCATCCATCTCCTTTTTTAACACAGGAAAGCTCCGAGGTTCAGGAGGCCAACACGCTACAGACCATACTACTGAAGGGAACTGTACCATTATCCTCCTCTTTTGGGCCTTGTTGATCATTGTTTTATTTTATTCGGAAATTGGATCGCTGACTCAAAAGTGGAAGAGGGTATCATTTTTCTCTGCAGAACCGAAGATTTCTCCCTAGTCATTCTCACTTTGGGCACTTGAGAAATGCTCTATTCTTATTGCATGCATTTTTCAAGGGCAACACTTCTCTTGTAACTTTACTACTTCCCGCGAGCTGCTCTGCAGTCCCCGCTCAATCAGATACCGTGTTTGTGTCAGGAGCTTCTTTAATATTAGACAGATTCGTAGATTTTGAGTCTTTGTTTCTCTTTGCTGATTGAACTTAGACCAAGTATCATTTGGGACGTGTACTTTATGATTTTTTTTATTAGTAATATGGAAAGAGCAACTTAAAAGGGAAATTTTGATACTTCGTTTGTAGTTTGCATTTTCATTATTTCTTTAGTTTGCGGCACTATGATGTTTCCATCATGACATTATTTCTGCATGGGTCTGACGAGTCCCATAGATAGGTTATAGTTGAAGTGAATGCTTACTGATAGATGATTGTAGTTGAGCCTATTTGCATTGCTCGGATGATATCGTTCTGTTTCCATGTGTTTATTTGGTTTCTAGTCGGTTGATTACAGTTTGAGACTGGTACTGTACCTTAATTTGGGATACACCATGCTAGTAAGTTTCTTGTACTTTAGCGTGCTTATCATGGATTAGTAAGTGTTCTTGGAGGATCCAACTTATTCTCAACCCCGTATGTAAAACTGGATGACAAGCAATTATATGTACTTCAAAATTTATTATTTTCACGGGCTATAATTTATAATTTGAGTTTTTACATCAAAACTATGTAAACTCTTACCCAAATTGATGGTTACCAAATTTTTTTTTTGATGAAACCACCTATAATTGCTTATATGATTTTAATGTCACACCAATCTTTATTTTCAGCCAAAAATCTGTCCATGCACCTGACCAACCAATATCCCTCAAACCCCTCACCGCGCCGCGCCCTTCGCTGGCGGCCTGATTGCCCCCCCCCTCGCTCCCCCCCCTCTCCCCTCCTCCCCAGCTTAACTACACCCCATCTAATCCCTGGTGAGCGTAGTCACATGAATTTCACGTGCCTTCTCTTCATCCTCCTCCCAACCTAAACCCAAATTGATCTCCGACATTAAACACCCTCTCATCTTCTGGTTCTTGTTCTCTAAACCCCCTCTCCTCTTCTTCTTCCCTAAACTCCATAAGAATTTTTGGTTACTTTTCCCAAGTGTTCTTCTTCGTCAATAGCTACTGAATATTCAACAGGTTCTTCTTCATATTCTCATGGAAGATCTATGGACGTTTTGTGCAAATGTAAACTGGGGGCTTCAATGCTAACTTCAAAGATTGAAGCTAACCCATGGAGGAAGTTTTTTAGTTGTTATTTCTCAAGTCATTCAATTTGTGATAAAAAAATTAATTTTTTTAGGCTAAACTACCAAATTGATATTTAAAAAAGACCCGTTTACCACATTGGTTTTTTAGGCTAAACTACCAAATTGATATTTTCCGGCGAAACCCCTCATTCGACCATCATGTGGCCCTTAATGACTGTTATAAAATGCTGATGTTGCAAGGATTAGTGACGTGGATTTCATTAACGGATCATGTGCCGCTCACGTGACCTAAGTAACTGGTTTTCAGAGATCAAAAGCCCTAAATTTGACAGATTGCCCCATCTTCATGCGTTTCAAAATATCGACCGATCAGAGCGGTGGTTAGGGAGATTGTGTCCAAACTTGCAGTTGCTAGTGGTCTTGCTGAAGATTTCATGGTGGGAAAGTGAAAGCGGTGTCTTAGAATCTGGAGGTGCGATATCATCCTCATCGAAAAGACAAAGGTGACTATATTCTGCATTTCTGCATTTGTTTGGTCCTTGATGGAGCATGCGTTTAAAATTTTCTTTATTAAGTGAAATTATAGTAGATGAGTGTTTATAAGTCTTATTTTTAACAAACTAGGGCTTATGTGAATGACATCGAAGTGGATTTTTCAAAAAAATAGGGGTTTTATAAGATTTGGAGCAGAGCAGAATGTGATTATGGTTGTAATTCATTTATGTTTTTGTTCATCATGCAGATGAGTGGGAATATTATGGTTAAATTCAAACATGGTGGTTCTTTTGAGTTTCTAATGTTAGAATAGTACATTAGTGGCTCCTTTGACATGCAATTCATTGCAGAAGACATTCTGTCAATAAACTTATTGAGAGAGAAAAATTAGAGAGTATGGGTATAGTGATGCTTTCACTTTGTGGTATGGAATACTTGGTGGTAGTGTTGGAGCCATCATGCCTCTTCTCTTAGATACAGACTTAGCAAAATTTAAGGAATATGTAAGTAAGGAGAGAGTAATTGAAGTTTTTGTAAATCATTTTGTTAATCAAGCTATTGAAGTGGATATTCCTCCAGTTGAAGATCCTCCGGTGCAAGCTAATCAGCATGAAGTTCCTAACCCCAATGAGTGCACTCCTAAAAAATATAGTGGCTTCAGAGAGAGAAAGAAGATAACCCCTAAGAGAAAGAGGACAACCACTATGAGAAAGAAAACAACATCTAAAAGGAAGAAAGTATTATCAAGATGTGAAAAGGGAAAAAATATTACCACTCAAACTCATCTTGATAAGAATGCATCCTCTACTGATGATGATGACTCAGTAGAGGATAAAATATACGAAATTGATCCAACTGAAGTGGTAGATGATGATGAGGAGTTGGTTGAAAAGTCCAGAAGTAGAAGGGGGGAAAAGATGGTGACTGATGAAGGTCATTCTAAACCTGAAGCTAATATCCCAAAGGGATATGAAAGTGATGATGTATAGATTGATAGTGAAGTAGAAAAGACATTGAATAGTGACTATGAAGAGCTTCATGAGATGAGAGAAAGAAATATTATCCTGTTAACATCGTAGAAGGGTGACATTCAATTCTGGTGCAAGGATTGGAAAGGATTAGCCAAGTCAAACAGATCCAGGACAAGAAAATGAGCCAAGTCAAGAACATGCATAGCATCATGCACATGCACAACATCCACAAGAAAATGCAGAGCAGCCTAGCAAACGAAATGCAGATCAGCCAAATGCACCAAATTTGGAACAACATTATTAAGCAAATGAAGAAACATAAGCAAATGCATAAAGAGCAATAGAAATAAATGCAGAACAACCAACAGAAGCAATTCCAGAATAACCAACTGAAGCAATTCCAGAACAATCAATAAAACCAAATAAAATACAAGATGATGATGATATTGAGGGTTTGATTGTAGGTGGTGCTAGAGCTAAAGGAGCAATACCAAACAATGCAAAATGGCCTAAATACTGGACATCTTATAGAGGAGGATATGAATCAGATCTGAGAGATAGTGTTGATGAGGATGCTTTGGAACCAAGTGAAGATGAAGCAGTAGTTATCCCTAGAAGGAAGAAGAGAATGAAGGAACTAATAAAATACAAGTTTTTCAATGAGGATGTGGACATGAAACAGGTGGAGCTAGAATCTGGATTGAGATTCACTTCAAGAAAGGTACTAAAAGAAGCTATACTCATGTATTCTAGGCAAAAACACTACAATTTGTTCTATATGAAAAATGACAAAAAAAAAAGGTTTCATATTGGATGTTTTTTGTGCAATTGGGAGTTGACTACTGGAGCAAATCTCATAGATAGGATGGCATGGTAAATCAATCATGTATCTCCTACACATACATGCAATAGGACATTCAAGAATAGACTAATAACTGAGAATTGGATTGCTCAAACTTATCTAGACCGACTATTAAAGAATCCTAAAATGAAGCTAAAGGAAATTGTTGCTGATATGAGAACAAATTTTGGTGTAAATGTAAATGAGAGGAAATGTGCAAGGGCCAAGGACAATGCACTCAATTCTATGCATAGCTTAATGCAAATGCAATATGGATTGCTCAAGCCTTACATAAGAGAGTTGTGCAAATCAAATGAAAGCACTAGAGCTGTTCTAAAGGTCCATGATTCAGAACCAGGACAACCAGTTGTATTCATGAGAATTTATATATGTTTTAAATCAATGAGATTGGGTTTCCTACATGGTTGTAGGAGGTTCTTTGGTTTAGATGGATGTTTTCTCAAGCATTCATGTGGAGGATAGTTACTAAGTTCTGTTGGGAGAGATGGAAACAACCATATGTTTCCAATTGCATGGGCTGTAGTTGAGGGAGAAAATAAGAACTCTTGTCAATGGTTTCTTAGCTGTTTGAATGCAGATTTGGAAATGAGGGATGATCAAGGATGGATTGTGATGTCAGATTAACAAAGGGTATGATATAATTTAGATTTCACTTAAATTGTTGTTAGATCTATCAAGATATTGACAATTTATACATGTTCTTACTTGATAGGGCCTTGTACCTTCCATTCATGAAATGTGGCCAGAAGTGGAGCATAGACAATGTGCAAAGCACATATATTCTAACTGGAGAAAGGCTCAAAATAGTAGAGTTTTACAAAGGTAATTTTGGAAATGTACAAAAGCAACTACAATGGGAGAGTTTGCATACGAAGCATCCAAGCCGAGGGCTCTTTCAGAGAAGGCATATGATGATTTCATGGATATGGACCCTCATACATTTTGTAAGTCTCATTTCAAGACCCATAGCTAATGTAACTCCCTAGATAACAATATGTCTGAAACTTTTAAGTCCTTCATTTTACTTGCAAGATTTAAGCCTATAGTATCTATGTTAGAGGATATTAGGCTACCTTGGATGGAGAGGCTGCAAAAAAAAAAAGATGATATTATATAAATTTGTTGGTGGAATAGCCCCTAGAGTGCATAAAAAATTGGAAGAGGCTTATAATGAACAGATTAATTATGAAGTACATTGGAATGGCTCAACAAATGAGGATGATTTTGAAGTGATCCGTTAACATGTAAGTCATAAAATTGACATAGGCAAGAGGACATGTTCTTGTAGGGTATGGGAGTTGACAGGAATCCCTTGCACACATGTTGTAAGTGCAATTTTACACATGAGGAGGAAACCAGAGAAACATGTATCAGATTGTTATAAGAGTGAATGCTACTTACTTACCTTTGAACATTCATTGGGCCCAATGGAAGACTACAAATACTGGGACAAGGAAGGAGAAGACATGATACTGCATCCAAATATTGCTAAAAGGAAGATGGGAAGACCAAAAACAACTAGGAGGAGAGACCCATCTGAAGGCTTACACAACACTTCTAAAGCATCAAGGCAGGGAATCCCACAAAGATGTAGTCATTGCCATTCTAATGAGCATTCAATCAGACATTATCCACTTGCACCACCAAAGAATCAAAGACCTTCAACCCAACAGGATGCACAAGCTCAGACCAATCCCACCACTGATTT